ATAACACAGTGTTGACTACTGTGTACAATGGTATATTGTCAGGTGATGTGTGTTGTACATTTAATGTGGTAGAGTATTTGTAGCATAGACAGCAACTAACTTATATAAATATCTACATGTGTGTTTTTGTTGAGTCAATTGGGGTAGGCTTTAATAAACTGATTTAATAATTGGCTTCTTTTTACTCCTTTTTGAACTATGAATGTTTTTTGCAGGCTTGATTATTACCGTAAATCCTCTAATACAGGCCCGGGCCTGTATTTTACTCAAGCTCATCAAGCCCCAGGCCTTTATTGGAGGGAGGGCCAGAATTAGAGACAGGTCTCAATTTCTATTTGGGCAAAATGAACTAGTGGTTCGCTGAAGTTTTTGACAATTAAAAAATTGCGCCCACATTTTCAAAGTTAAACACATTTCTTTCAACAACGGTAGTTTCTGCTTCAGCCCTCTCCCCCCTCACCCTGCGCAGCGGCCACAAACTCATTGGTGGGCCTGCAGCCTCTCAGTGTTCCTGCTGCTCTAAACATTATAATAATTATTTCATTTTCTGTTCCTCACGTCTGATTACCTTCAATGGTGTCTGTTTGTTGCAACCACCAGGTTCAAAAACTAACTTGTTTTTATTTGACTATTTTTCTGTCCTGCCTGTTTATTATTTTCCTGCATCTCCTCTCAGTCCTAAAGAAAAACTGCTACCTGGGTTCATATATATTCACCTTATGAGTTACCTTTGAACTGCAGTTCTAAAAGATCTACCGACCGCAAAAACAGCGGAGTGTGCGCTGCGTGCTGGCCGCACCGGTGAGGTGCATCGCCGGAGGACAAAACAGGTGATGTGCTCCGTTCCACAGCAGCGAAAAGCATCAGGCACAATAAAACACAGACAACATAAAAGGAAATGAGCCGACATGAACGATCGTGTGTAAAATTTGTTTTTGAGGTGGCGACAACTAATTTGATAATGTTACTGTGGCCGTGCTCAGGACGCAGATGTCTGGAGCACGTCAACAATCAGAGCTTTGCATGCGCAAGCTGGTTAAGGTTAGGATGGGGGTGAGGGGAATGTTAAATTGCAAGAGGGTAAAGGTCACAATTTGGTTAAATGTCCGTTTTACGGCGGGTGTCAGTACTGACGCTCTGGCACAGCGCGTTGCCTCCTGACGCGCAGGAGCTTGTCACCTGCTGACAGCAGGCTGCTGTCTTTTCCGTGGACTGCATCTTGCCAGTCACTATCACGTGACAGCGACTAGTCAATGACAGGCATAAAAAGTCACTATAGAGCAGTGAAGTCGACTAGTGACTAGTTCATACAACGCCTACTGCTCCCCAGAGTGTTCTGCAGCATAATCAGCACGTTCTCTTTGAACTTGATGTCAAATTTTAACCTCCTCTTCGTCTCCGCACCTGCCATGGTTAAAGTTACCCTCGCGGTCTATCACTGGCAAATCAAAAGTGAGACGGATGACACAACCGCCCCCCTGTGGTACTTGCTTGTTACCACATTCCACCCGGCCACAATTTAAAAAAAACGGCCGTTATTCACCTCCGCCGACTCCGACACCGGCCAAAATGTGATGCCCGGCCGTTAATTGAATACAGGCCAATATTAGAGGATTTACGGTATATTTGGTTTTTTTCTTGTTATTTTTCTAGTTTGTCTTCCGATATTTGTTTTTATGTTATTTTATGCTATTTTTATTTCTATCTTGCATTATAATAATGTTCAAATAAAGATATCATTCATTCATTCAAGTAAATAAATACATTGTCAAATTGGATGCTAGCACTCTTGGGTGTTTTCTGTAGGGAGCACTTACCATGATTATTATGGTACTAAGTCTCTGGAATTAGAGAAAGTGTGGTTGTTTGCCGGCTTGCTATTACAGTTCTGAATGACTTGTTAAAGGAAAACTCATTATTCACTTTACACATACATGTCAGTGTAATATTGAGTTGGTGGTTATTGAAAAAGTAATTATTTGTTTCTAATCCACTGTTAGCATTGTTTGCCAAAAGTTAGCCTCTAGCCTGCTTCACACGATTTTAGATTAAAACAAAAAGATGCTGTGGCTTATTTGGGAAACAAGCAGTAACTTCTGGGTTGCTCCTGTTTACTGACTTCAGTTCTTTAAAGCTTTTTGCTTTCCAGTGTGGAATTACAAATGCTGGTACTGCAGCGTCAGCTTGGCATAGACTCAGCAACCTCATGGGGTCACAGATTGTAAACAATAAATACGTACCTCTTTAGTTTTTTTTATTTAAAGAAAAACTGACCATCCTCCAGCTGGCTGAGAACAAAATCTGTCTCAGTGTAACCTTTCTTTCAACATGATTGAGACATTAGACTGTTTTGTAATTATTTTACTGTATAATTCTTACATATTGCCCCTTTAAGTACAGCTGATTGTTAGGCCTATTTAGGTCACCATTTCAACAATAAAGATAAAAAGAAATATTATTAAACTGACATTTTAGGGTTGCATGTTTTTTTTCCCTCTTTTAAGTTAGTATTAGTTAGTATAGTTTGTCAGTTTTCAATGCAATGATGGACATTGGTTCAATCACCAGCTGTTATTTGTTTAGGGCTTGATAAACTGACCTTGAGATAAGCTTGAATGTCTGAAAAAGAAAATAAAGATATACAGGTCTATACTTTTCAATGTTTCTTTTTGAAAAGAGTTTTCAAAAATCTTGTATTTCATTCAAGAGTGACTCCTAGAGCCAACGTGGCTCTCTCACAAGCTTTCAGTATATCGGATTTGTCCAAATCGTCTTAAAGAGGTGGAAAATTGCTCTGGATTAAGATCGGAAAAGCTGTTGCTGTTGGCTATCGCAGCCCTTGACAGCAGGTTATGTTAAACACATGTACAGTAATATCCTGTGTGTGCAAAAGCACATTCTTCACACTCCCTTTTTATTGAGTGGCTGCTCTGCGGGACGACATTCCTTCGGTACATTACTCCTGCTCTCCTTTGCTATGCTGAATATGCACAGGTGGCTAAGAGAGCCCCTTCCACATAGCTAAGAATGCAGGAAAGGGTGGAAAATCAGCCATCGTTTTTTCCTGGCATATGAGACAAATGTTTGGCATTCCACGAGCACTGTTCTGCTGTAGATCTGTCTGTTAATAGATGGCGGTGTGCCAGGCCAGTGGCAAAAGATTTGACACCAACTTCTCAGAAATTTCCAAAGAACAGAGTGCCTTGAACCTTGGTTCTGTTATTCTGTTGACGTCTTTGGGACATTGTGTGTTCGTTTGTCATCTCTCACCTGTGACCGATTAATAATAGGACTAAAAAATGCTACAACGTACTCTGGAATTTTCTCAGCTACATGCGTGGTATGTGTCCTTGATTAAGAACTGCTTTTTAGAGGAGACAAATGAACAGAACTAGTCCAGAGGTGCTTTTTAAAGTATGTTACATAAAACACTCAACACTAGACTGAAAGTATGGGATATAGTTTATGTTTTTTCTAATTATTTTTCTTCAGTTTTACAACTATTTGTTGTACCTACTAAACAAAAAAAGTAAATATTTAGTATTTTTAAATATACCAAGTATATGATTTTACATTTTGAAGTGAGATGGATATAGTAGAATAGCTCGTACAATGTTTTAAGTACAATTGAACTAAACATATATTTTTTAATTTTTTGTTTTAGTAATAACTTTATTGATTAAGGACATTAAGCCACAAATTGTAACGATTTCCATTCATTGACCAAATTTTACTTCAAGACCCAAAAGTACTAAAAAAGTTTTTTTTTTTTAATTATTCATTTAGTTTTCCGGGGCACTTTTCAGAGTAACTCAGACTGGTGCAGCTTGGCCCGACCACTGTTCCCACTGGCACGGTTCTGTATTTCCCTTCTACTTTAGCCCTTGTTCCTGCTCCTTGAGATACTTGGCAAGCTTGATTGGCTGGCATCGTGATTCTGGCCTCTTATTGGCTAGGAGGTGGAGTCACTGGTTGCTTTCGAGTTATTGCTTTCAGCTTCACTGCCTGGAGCCATTTCCTGGTTCAGAGTTTGACAAAAAGCCATAAAACTAGGCAAAATGTCCAGCAGCACCACCATTTTTCAGCTGAGTTGTGTTTCTATGGAGCAAACAAGTTACGCTGTTTACTAAATACCTCATGCAATTTTTTTACGAGCTGGCATGGGAGAAAAACTACACTCAGATGGGTTGACTCGAACCACGCTGTACAGAGCTGTTTTAGGCTGAGTAGTGCTCCTGCAAAACCAGCTTTATGTCTTTCTTTGGAGGTTTTATTGGTTTATTGTGCTAGAAATCCTAAAAATACATCCTATAAAAATCTGACCAGTTCTTGGTCAACAGTAGTTGGTAGTAGTTGTGTGCCAGTTGCACACAACTTAAGTATAATAAAGAAAATAACTAAATATTCAACACATATTGCTTGGCAGGCTAAGCCTGGGATTAGGAAATGATGGATTTCAGCAATGCAACAATTATTTCCCCTCAACTTTTACACGGCAAAGTTAAAGGTCAGCAGTCTGTCTATTTGCTGCAATAGAGCTCCAGATTTGTAACCTTAGGGGTCACACAGGTCAAACCATCGACATAAATATACAGGGTCAAACCTGTTATTGAAGATTTGGCAAGTTGCGGAAGTTGTCTTAAGGGTGACATAAAACTTTCTGACGCCCCCTGGGGATGAAAGGGCACATAACAGATGAAAGGTTAGGGTTAGGGTCAAACAGATGAAACTTATGATACTTTTTATTTTTTTGGAACTTTTTAAAACTTTTACATTTTCTGAACGTGTGATTAATTTATTAAAAGTTGATTAGTGTGAATATGTGGAAAGTTGGGACCTCATGTATCTTAAATTTCAGTTAAAGATGTAATAAAAGTTACTTTTAAAGAGAATCTCTAAACTATTTTGGGTGAATGAAGCTGAAATAACTCGTTCTGATCTAATAAAGGAGTAATTCATCATCAGAGCACGAGCCGTTCGGGGGTGTGACTTCAGTCTTTGGGGTCTATATATTGAGATGCTTTGTCCGTTGGCTTTATGTGAATGAGAAGCTGACCAGGGAAACTCGACCACAGCGAGACGGTGTTCCTCCTCGTTGCGTATTAAAGCCTCCCGCGCGCCTCTCTCACCATGATGGATTCCTATTTTTCCGCAATTTGCGTGACTTTTCTCGCGGCATTTTGTACCTGCAGGTCAGGTGCGAACGGACCGGTTGTCACATGCGAGCCCTGTGACCTTGAAGCGCGACTTTTGTGCAAACCTTTGCCTAAGGACTGCGCACAGAAGGTCCGCGAACCGGGCTGCGGCTGCTGCATGACGTGCGCGCTGAGCTTCGGCCAGCCGTGCGGGGTATACACCGGGAGATGCGGGTCCGGGCTGAGCTGTCAGCCTCAGCCAGGAGAAACGACACCCCTGCAGGCTTTGATTGAAGGACGGGGGATCTGTGTAAACGCCACTAAAAAGAGTCAGACGGTCAGACCTACACCTCCTGTCAATGAGTTGCCAGGTATGTGCGTCCACCTCTTGCACTCCAAAGGGAAAAAAACGGTGTGCAGAAACAGACTTCTAACGATCAAACTTCTAAAGAAGTGTAGAAATCTAAGGATGAGACCCTGTGCCACATTTAATCCAACCCCTGATTTTCACAAAACTTACTAATTATTTCATGATTAGCTTTAAGTTTTACATTTGAACTACCATATCTTTATCTCCACTGAGCCAAAGAAAATGCATTTCGTAAATCCTGAACTTCTTGGAACTAAACACACTGTTTCCACAATTTTAGCAGAGAATCCAGAGAGCCATGAAAAGGAGCAGAATTCCACTGGCTCAAGTCTTCAAACTGCCCACAACGGTCACACTGTACCAGCCAGACACCCACTTCCTCCCCCCTACTCCCCTACAAAGGCAGACATCCTCAGACAAGAGGAGATAACCCTGATCTTTAAAACGGAGGATCTCTCAGCACCAGTCATAACCAAACAGGAGGCTGAATATGTAAGTACCACAAACATTCATTTTCTTTTGTCATCTGAACACTCTAGAGGAATGTTTTTCCTCCTCTTGTCTGTGTTTTTGGGCGTTTTTCTGCCCTCTCCCCTGAGGGTGATGAAACCTTTTGGATAGTGGTGCTAGTGGTTGGCAGGGATCTGGTGCAGTAGAAGAGACATGGCAGCAGGCATGTACCATGGCCCTGTGGCTGACCTGGGTCAGGCGGAAGTTTGGCCACAAGGCGTCCGCGTGCTGGCCGTACTGAGAGCCAGCGAATGATGGATTGGCTGATGTGAGTGCCTGTTGGGAAGCACTGCTGCTATTTTGATCTGTTGTTGGCCGGAGAAGTGAGCACATTTTAGTAATGGGCTTTGACTGGCTTCTCTGATTAGTGACTGTTGTACTTGGACTTGAGATCAAGCCTGTTGCCTCCATCTTTGAGCTGTTTGAATTCAATTTGTTCCCCATCCTTTGTGTTACATTTAAGAGTTCTAAGCTGTTAAGCCGCTCTGCAAGTCAGATGAATCCATTTCTGTGCCGTCACTGGCATTGTTGAGGAATTACAGCGTGGCAGAGTGCTCTGCAGCGTGGGTCAGCTTTAGCTCATTCGCAAAAGCGTTGGCGTCAAAATTGGACTAAATGAAGCTAATGCTATAAATGTCATTGGTTGCATTCAGAACTGGAACGTAGAGTGTGATTATTCCTGATTATAACCGGTGACTCTGAGTTTTTCATGCGGGCCGAACATGAAAATAGTCTCCCACGCCTATCTCCTGCATTAGCATCTGAGAGAAAATAGATGGTGAAACTCTAGGATTTGAACATCCTGACAGATCTACGTCACAATTAACATTCATGGACTCACCCATCTTGACTCATGACAGGGAAGGCTGTTGTTTTTTAGCATCCACGAGAGAGCTATTGCATACATGCATATGCTAGTAGAAGCTAACCATTAGCAACACCACCACACAGAAAAACTCCTCCAGGCTTGTGTTATTTGTTGCAAGTCAGTGATAGAGTCTCGTTGTTGTTATCCAATCGGAGCCAAGATGTTCAAATAGCAGAAAACAAGACTCCAAAACCTGCCGTCTGAAGCTCAGCTCTGATGTGGCTCACTTCTAGTTCCTAGAAATGGTGCTCCAGTGTTTTTTGCCCCCGAGAATGACTTACATTCCTTCCAAAGACTGCTGCAGATTTATTGATAAAACAAGTGTTCAACACCTTTAAGATGTGCAGTTATTCATGTTTCTTCCTGGTTTAGGGTCCCTGTCGGAGAGAGATTGAAAGCATCCTCAACAAACTGAAAATAGCCAACATCCTGAACCCCAGAGGTTTCCGCATACCAAACTGTGACAAGAAGGGCTTCTATAAGAAAAAACAGGTAAAACAAAACACACTTTGGTGAAGTTTATCAAAAACCATGCAGATTTACCTAACGTTGTTTTCATTTTGCATTTATTGTGATAAAAGGCTTAACTAGTGAGTCAAACATTCGGGTTCCTCTAGACTCTTTTGCTGTCTTTTGCATTCATCAGTAGTTATTAGACCTTCGTCACTGCACCGCACAAGCAAGGCAGATCTTAGCCACTGACACTGGAAACAGGAACCACAGGGGCCAAACCCCAGCAGACTTGACGGCCGGGACGACAGCTGTCTTACCTCCCCTCCCAGGGAGACAGACGTCAAGGTGGCCACTGGCACCCCGTGTGTTCGCCCCATAATTGCTGGACTTTTGAGAGGCAGAACAGAAATAGAGCTGCAGCCATCCCCAGCACGCTTGGTTCACCCATGATTGGGTTGTAATAAATGAGTGGTTCTGACGCATTCGCTTGGAGGCAGTCGGGGCTCCTGGTTGACTGAATCGCAGAGGCAGATTATCCTTTAGGCGTATCAGTTTTCCCTCCTTCCTCTCTGTTTGACATGCAATCATCTCATCAGAACCAGCTAAAGGTGCTTCTGGTCATTTTAATTACACCACATGCAAGACTTAAAAGCTAAAGTCCTCACGCTTATGTTAAAAAAATCCTCATCTTTAAAACTGATCTCATAAATATATGTTTAGATTCTTCAGTAAAATCTTCTGAAATATCGAGCTAAACATGGATGTCCTCCCTCCTGATCAGCCCCAACCCCTCTGTGGAGCAGCGGTGCAGTTAGCTTAGCCCTTGAAATGAATGGCTGCATGTTTTACTGGAGCGGAGGTTGACCTTTAGTAAAATTGGCAGTAAAATAACAGCCCTTGGGTAGCTCCACAGACTCTGTAAGTCATTTGTAGTACCCATAATTTGGAACTGTGGGGTATAATCAGCAACAGATGATTCGTTCTGGCCACCAGCTTCTGAAAATAGATCTTGGTTCACAGTTGTTCACAAACGGGACTAAGTAAATATTTTACTAGGTTTCTGTTTACCTTAAAGCTCTCTATATGTGTCTGTAACAGGAGGTAGACCGTGAAAGCAGATCAAAATACCGCAGCAAGCTAGATGGCCAAGGGTGCGTTGACTCAGCATAATCCAACGTTTAGTGCCTCTTAACTACTCTGTTCTACTTCAGCGACAAAAGTGTTCAGTCCTTGTAAATGTTGATTGTTTTTACATTCGTCTGCACTGTGCTTTCAGTGCCGTCCGTCCAAAGGGAAGAAGCGAGGTTTCTGTTGGTGTGTGGACAAATATGGACAGCCCCTGCCAGGATTCGATGGGAAGGAGAGAGGAGACATCCAGTACTCCAAAAAACAGTTGGAGTAACAGAGGAATGGGGAGGGAGGTTTGCCAGCGAACAAGAAGACGCTGAGGATATTGGAGGCGAGGTTAAAAGATGGCTCGGTTGATATGTAGATGTTTTCTATCCGTTGCCTCTGGGACCTTTTTTTTCTGAGGCAGAGCAAAAGAAGCAGAGAATGTTTATGAGGAGGAAAGTCCTGGAATTTAATGCCATGGACCGACTCTTTATAAGCTGTTTTATTCATGACTCCACCTGAACAGCTGCTGGTCAAAGTAACGCTTAGGAATCTGCAAGAATTCCTTTCTGAGGCCTTAAAGTGGTGATAAAACATCACATCACAGACAGTGATAAGCATGCTCCTCATTTACGCACAATTACGTAGCACTGCAAAGGCGTGCATGCTTGTGTAACCCATAACTGTATTCTCGTGAATTGATCTCCGCGTCTGGAGACGATGAAGTTTTTCTAAGTATGGATTTTTTTCAGTGCCTTACTTTTGTATTTTATTGTTTCCAGTTGCTTCCAGCTTCACAGGAAGTAGTTTGGGATCGTGCAGCTCAAACAGCACCATGCATTTAAAGGTTTTTATGCTGGACTTTAAAGCCACAGTGATAAAAAAAGAGACTTTTCTTTGACTTTGTGGCTGTTACTGATTTAACGTCACTTTGCATAAGCTAAATACTTGAGATTCAAGGCATCTGCCATTATAAATGATTTCTGTGTATCCAGTGATATTGTTCTTTTTGAGTAAATATGTTTGCATGTACAATCCAACTCTTGAAAGTCTATTTTTACCTAATAAAGGCAGTAAAAATCTTTTGTGTGTTTATTTTTATCTCCAATTTTGTTCCTCTGTCAGTGACGTATCCAGGCATTTCAAAATGGGGTGGCCCAGGTGGGGCACTTGTTTATGAATAGTTGGCACCTATGGTTCTGTTTTTTTTGGGGTGGGAGGTTCATCTGTCACAAAGTCATATATATATATATATGTATATATATATATATATATATTTTTTTTTTCATTTTAGTGAACTTGCGAGCACCGCATTGTGCCATGATTAGTAGGGCTGGTGATCCTGACGTCATCACCGACGCAACCGCCTTGTTGGAGGCGTGTGAGTCCTATACTTGTTGCTTGTTACTACTGTAAACAGTGAGCTCAGTCTCTTTTTCTGTGGCTTAAATGAATCTTATATTCAAATATTCATTTGATATTACACAACTCTAGTAAATCATTGTTGTGTAGTGGGGTGACACATGTGATCGCCAGGGGAATAAAGGTGGAAAACAAGCTAACTTTTCAATGTTTTCCTGCTTGGGGCAAAACCACTGAGACCAAGGGTGTTTCTCAATGCCATCCTTGCCTTGATGTCTTGGCCCCGCCCCGGTTGCCTAGGAGATACATCATCGGGAGCCACCAAGACGTGTTCCAATGTTCATGGTCTACCGAGGCGTGCGTTCTCCGTTTGTTAGCCGTTTAGCTAGCTGAGCAAGGATACACGGGAGGTGTCTTGTAGCCTAGCCTTGGTCAAAAATTACCCAGAATACAGGTGCTGGCCAGTAAATTAGAATATCATCAAAAGGTTGAAAATATTTCAGTAATTCCATTCAAAACGTGAAACTTGTACATTATATTCATGCAATGCACACAGACCAATGTATTTCCAATGTTCATTACGTTTAATTTTGATATTTATAGGTGACAACCAATGAAAACATCAAATCTGGTATCTCAGAAAATTAGAATATTCTAAAGGCCAATGAAAAAATGTTTGTTTCTCTAATGTTGGCCAACTGAAAAGAATGAACATGAAAAGAATGTGCATGTATAGCACTCAATACTTAGTCGGGGCTCCTTTTGCCTCAATAACTGCAGTAATGCGGCGTGGCATGGACTCGATCAGTCTGTGGCACTGCTCAGGTGTTATGAGAGCCCAGGTTGCTCTGATAGTCGTCTTCAGCTCCTCTGCATTGTTGGGTCTAGCGTATTGCATCCTCCGCTTCACAATACCCCATAGATTTTCTATGGGGTTAAGGTCAGGCGAGTTTGCTGGCCAATCAAGGACAGGGATACCATGGTCCTTGAACCAGGTGCTGGTGGTTTTGGCACTGTGTGCAGGTGCCAAGTCCTGTTGAAAGGTGAAGTCTGCATCCCCATAAAGTTGGTCAGCAGCAGGAAGCATGAAGTGCTCTAAAACTTCCTGGTAGACGGCTGCATTGACCCTGGACCTCAGGAAACAGAGTGGGCCAACACCGGCAGATGACATGGCACCCCACACCATCACTGACGGTGGAAACTTTACACTGGACCTCATGCAACGTGGATTCTGTGCTTCTCCGCTCTTCCTCCAGACTCTGGGTCCTTGATTTCCAAAGGAAATGCAGAACTTGCTTTCATCAGAAAACATAACTTTGGACCACTCAGCATCAGTCCAGTCCTTTTTGTCCTTGGCCCAGGCGAGACGCTTCTTGCGCTGTTTCTTGTTCAAGAGTGGCTTGACACACGGAATGCGACACCTGAATCCCATGTCTTTCATGAGTCTCCTCGTGGTGGTTCTTGAAGCGCTGACTCCAGCTGCAGTCCACTCTTTGTGGATCTCCCCCACATTTTTGAATGGGTTTGTCGTCACAATTCTCTGCAGGGTGCGGTTATCCCTAGAGCTTGTACACTTTTTTCTACCACATTTTTTCCGTCCCTTCGCCTGTCTGTTAATGTGCTTGGACACAGAGCTCTGCGAACAGCCAGCTTCTTTAGCAATCACCTTTTGTGTCTTGCCCTCCTTGTGCAAGGTGTCAATGATTGTCTTTTGGACAGCTGTTAAGTCAGAAGTCTTCCCCATGATTGTGGTGCCTTCAAAACAAGACTGAGGGACCTTTTAAAGGCCTTTGCAGGTGTTTTGAGTAAATCAGCTGATTAGAGTGGCAGCAGGTGTCTTCTATATTCAGCCTTTTCAGAATATTCTAATTTTTTGAGATACCAAATTTGGAGTTTTCATTAGTTGTCACTTATGAATATCAAATTTAAATGTAATGAACATTGGAAATACATTGGTCTGTGTGCATTGCATGAATATAATGTACAAGTTTCACGTTTTGAATGGAATTACTGAAATATTTTCAACCTTTTGATGATATTCTAATTTACTGGCCAGCACCTGTATTTAATTCAACAAATATATACACAATTTAAAAAGTAAAAGGCTCATTATATATTTATATTGAAACACTACGTATAAAATATAACGTTAGCTTCCGTGTCACGTGACGTTACGTGACCGCCGTGGTCACGTGATGCAAGTCTGTTCCATTTATCGTTTTCTTTGACCAAGGAAGAACAGTGTCCTCGTAAGCAAGGCGACTGGCCTCGCAAGACATCGCCTCGCTAGGCCAGGCGCCTTGACATTGAGAAACACCCCAATCTAGCATAACAAAGTCTTGTTGGCTCACTTGGATCGCAGTTATAAGGTGACTAAACATCACCTTCCGGAGTATTTTCATTCTGGTAAGTTACTGATGGTGTACGTTGTTTATACATCATTCCTTTCCCTCAACCTTGACACGCACACACACACACACACACACACACACACACACACACACACACACACACACACACACACACACACACACACACACACACACACACACACACACACACACACACACACACACACACACACAGGCTACACTCACATACCGGTAAGCTAATGCGGACGCACTGACACACAACACAACTTCTCTTGCTACACTCCTTCTGTGAGATGACAATTTAGATTGTTTTACTAGAAAAACCAACAAACAAACCAACGTTTCATCCGGTCATTTACATCTGCTCACACCACAAACAAGATAGCCGAAATGTCCGTTAAGCAGAACTGCAGCGGCAACAATACATCATCGTTGCTCTGGTCTTAGGTCTTTCAAATGGATCAAAACCATTTATAACGCTGATTTTGTCCACACACCGGTCCCCAACGCCTTTATTTAACGTATCCCTGTATATTCTGCATCCTTTTTGGGATTTAATAATGTTTAACACTTTCTTTCACCCAGAACCATTTCTTCTCTGCGACAGTACCGTTTGTTTCACAGTTTGTTTCACGGTTTGTTTATACTCGTCAACCTTCCAACATGTCCGCGCACATCCAAGAATGCTATGCATAATCAAGTGTGATCACAATTTTATTCTTCAAGCTGTTTTGTGGTAGTAAGTCACTTCTTGGTGCTTTACCGCCACCACCTGGAGTTAAGTGGGAATGGGACCGGCATTCTAAATACTATTTATGTCAATATGAAAACATAATAAAGATGAATGAATATAAAACAGACACGTTCTGCTGGCCTGGGGCTGGAAACAATGGTGAATATACCTGCTGCCACATATTGTTTTGCTGTTTAGAACCCCAAGGGTGGCATGTGCTACCCCAGGCCACTCCCTGGACACGCCCCTGCTCTCTGCTACATATAGGGGCAGCAGTAGCTCAACAGGTTGGGCGGGTTGTCCAGTAATCAGAAGGTTGCAGGTTTGATCCCGGCTCCGGACAGACACCTAACCCACCTTGCCTGCTGGTGGTGCTCGGCAGCCTCACCTCTGTCAGTGCGCCCCAGGGCAGCTGTGGCTATCAGCTCATCATCATCAGTGTGTGAATGTGTGTGTGAATGGATGAATGATACACTGTAGTGGAGTCCTTACTCTGAGAGGCACTATATAAGTGCGGGTCATCATTTATCATACATAAAATAAACACACATTATTACCTTTTCATACAAATTTAATCATAAACAACCATAATTAAAATATACACTTTGCTTCAATAAATGTCTGCATAGATACATTTTCATCAAAAAAGCATTTGCATGAAATCCAGTCCAATCAAATGCACACACAAATAAATAACAGAATAGACCTCCAGAGGTAGACACATGCTGATCAGTCCATAAACCTCATAGCAGCACTGGTAGTTATGGTATGTTTAGTTAAAAGGGAAAAACATTTTTAAGTTGTCCTGGTGGACCTGTTGTTGTGAGTAATGGAGTTCTTTATGCAGTGTTGCCCTATTTACCCATGCAAAAAGGACATGTCAGAAAATACAAAAGATAAAAGGTTACTGACAATAAATAAGTCTCTGATATGCACAATATGTAAATAATATTTCCCTCATAAGCTTTTACAGTTTGAGACAACTGAGTGTAGTTTGTAAAAAGTTACAAAACACACATTCTCCCAGAGTGAACGTCTGTTTTTGTGTGTTCATCCATCAGTGCGTGACTTCTTGGTGGCACTCCGCATCGCCAATGAGGTCACTGGATCCTGGGAGCTTCTTCCCGTTCCACGATGACACACACCAGCAGCGGGCAGGCGGTCCAACCAGAGATGACTCACACTGGAACAGAAACAGGGTAACATGTAACTCACCCAGTTACTGAGAAGCAGTCCCTTCCATGGAGGGATGAGTCACTTTAGTTTCTGTAAACTTCATGTAGAAAGAAAAAAACTCACCTGCTTGGATTTGTAGAAGCCATGCTTATCACAGTTGGGGAGGTAAAAGGTTGTGAACTTATCACCTAGTTTCTGCTGAGAGCTGGCTATCAGATCCAGCGCTGCGTGCAGTTCAATGTGACATGGACCCTTTCAAAATAAAAATAAAACACATCTGCATGTTAACAAAACCAATATTCTATTATTTCTCTTAATGCTTCCACAGATTCACCCCCCCCCCCCCCAGCAACAAAGAAAAATGATTCCTTTCACACTTTGTGTTTACCTGTTGTACCAGTTTGTTGCGGATGGCGTTGACTTTAGCTTTGATGCTCTCCTGGCCCTCAGCAGCATCTTGGTGATCAGAAGGAAGGTTAAGCCCCAACAAGTAGTGCAATGAGCCATGATCTGGGACTTCCTCAACTTCCTCTGTGGAGATTTTTAGAAAAATACATAATTGAACATAAATAACGATCAAGAGTGAGCCGTTTGTTTTCATTTGAAGAGAACATTTGAAGCTACCTTGGCCATCGTCTTCAGTGCAAATCCCCTGTCCTCTGGTCAGGGCGTGGAGTGGTCTGGCCTCACCCGGCCTGGGAGTGCAGCGAAGACCCGAACCACAGTGGGCCGTGTGAACGCCGCAGGAAGCACCTTTCTCCAGAGCGCAGGCCATGCAGCAGCCACAGCCAGGTTCTCTCAGAACTTGCTTACAGCCTTCCGGGACTGCGGGACAGTCATTCAGCTTCTGTTGCGTGCATGGGGAGCAGCGGATGGGCTCGGGCCCCACCACCGGAGACGACCTCACCAAAGCCAAGACGGCCACAGCTGCAAACAGCATCTCATAAAATCCAAGCATTTTCAGTCTAGAGATAAAAACGTCTTTGTTTCCTCTGAGTGCTCTCTGTGACTGTTGGATTTCTTCTTAGGAGATTTCTGTGAACCGGCAGTATTTGTACTGTGATCTGACCTCAACGGAGGTTAATAATTGACACAGTGACCACAAATATAAAATATTTTTGACAGAGTTGATACAAACAGCAGGTGACCCCGCTTGACGTGCATGGATCCATGATCACAAGGTCAGCTGTCAATATTGACTCTGGGACATAAAGAGATTGTAGATGAAAACAACTCTGTTTTTTTTTATGATAAAACTGTCGATTCAGGAGTTTAAATAAATGACATTTCAGATACTAACTGAAAGAGACATTTATCTTTAAACGTAGTCTGCTGTTTTGTCTGTAAAATCATATTTTTCTTTTAGCCGTGATGGTGAAGGTCCTTCTCATCACATATAGAGATAATCATTCCTGTTGAGAGTAGCAAAACCCTAACATTATTGGTTTCCTCCTCTAGAATCACAACATGTTTGTCTACAAAGGGAGGACAGTAATTGGCTGTTTCCCTGGTGTAGTATTTGTCATAAATATCTATGACAAATGCCAGATGTGTGGAGCAGAAGCCACTGATCTGAAACGGTGACCCCCGGAAACATCCTGTTAGCTCACATGATCGTGAAGATAAGTGAGAAGATTCTTAAAGTGAAGTTGAGGTCAAATATGTGAAGCTTTATATTTTACATCTCATAGAAATAGCTGCTGCTTTTATGTAGGATTTGCTGTTTTTTTATGGGGGAGATTACAGAATTGTTTGGCAATTCAGGGAGAAAGTCCCAAGGAGAGAAAAACAACAAATTTGGGGCCTTTTCCAAAATGGATTTAGGCTTATAATCTAAAAGAGCTCAAACTAAACATTTAAAGCAGATGTAGTTACAGACATGTGCACCTTGTGACATTCACATATTTTTTAATATTCATGCATCGAGGGAATACCTAACACCATTAGTTTTATAAAGAATGTCTTGACAAGACCAAATATGACCTCTGACAGTCTTTAGTGTAAAACACACTACAGAAATGTAAGATTTGAGCTGTTTTAGAGGCCTAAATCCTGTCTAGAATAATGATTTAGCCCTGCCATTAAAGTTTTGAATTTTTTTAAACAGTGATAATTTTATCACTGAAAAACACAAAAAAATATCCAAACTCCCCTTTTTAAATCAGCAGACTGAGCTTGAAAGACAAAAAAAAAAAAAAAAGATTTAATCAATGTCTAATAAATGATCTGTCATTTTTATCCCTTATTCTAGTTTCAGCTCCTTCTTTGGAAGATCAGTCCATTTTTTTTCTTAATTTAATTCAAAATGTTAAAAACAAACAAAATATTCATAAACATCAACACTAAACAATTTGAATGAATAGGAGAGAAGCTCCAATTCTAACCCCCCCCCCCCCAAAAAAAACAATTAAAAATAAACAGATTCATCTTTACTACATTCTGCCTGATGAGGGATAATTTACAGCTCTAATCAAGCACTATCTGAATATAGATCTTTGTAATTCCATAGTACACTTGACTTATTCCTTTTTAAAAATAATTTTAGTGACTTTGATTCTTTTATGTATTTGCTGAGGTTGTTCCATATTCATCTCCTTCATTCTGGCTCCAAATACTGCAGTTCCTTATAACTACTGACTCTTCATTTCAAACTTTTTCTGAATGTTTGTGGTTAAAGTTTTTGTATTAGCTTTGCACATTGTAATATTTTCAAATTAACCAAATCATAACATTTCTGTATTTTCTACTTGATTAACAGGTTGGAGGGGTTCTCTATGGTAATTGTTTACAATTGTCGGTGCTTTTTTGTAATTTAAACAGTGGCTGTGTACGAGTTACACGTGGATCCCCAGATTTCTATACGGTAAGTATCAGTGAGGTACTCTACGACCTGCCTGCTTCCTGTGGGTTAAAACTGCAACACTGACTTGAACATTCCTGCATCACTTATCTTGTTTTTGATAAGTTTAACTTGTTTGGGGTCATTGTGTTCAAGCTTGACCTACTTTCTGTTGGGATTCACCACTAACAGACAACCTCATGTATTCTTTGAAAAGATAAACATCCTGGGCAGACAACCATTGTTTTCCGGGTTTCCTTGGAGCTTCCTGAGCCTCGATCTTTCCAGGGCATGCCTGCGTGCTCTCCCAGTCCCGTCTTTGTGAAATTCCCCAAGTGGAAGACTTGAAGCATCTGACTCAGATGGGAAACCACCTTGTCTTGATAGTCACTCTGATTAATATTTCATCAGATCTTATTTAGAATTTGAATATTTTATCAAAACTAGTTTAGATTTCCAGTCATCCAGGTCAATAAAACATGTATAAAATAAAATAAAAAAAAACTGAACTTTCTACATTAAAATTCCTGGAGATTTTGCCTAACTCCCCATTTTGTGCAGGACTGGTCATTTAATATTGTAAATTACAGTCAAGTTCTTGTAAAAAAGCCTTTTCAGAGTTTTTTTTAAACATTTTGACTGTTGCATGAATTTATAGAAAGTAAATTCATTTTTCTTTCAAATGATTTAATTTGCAATTGAGAAGTGAAGCTTCTTTGAAAACTTACACAACTCACCCTGTTAATAAGAATAAGAACAACTTTATTTATCCCGAGGGAAATTCTTGTGTCATGTTGCAGAATAGAAAAAAAGCGTATGACTTCAGAACATACTATCAACTAAACCATGTTTATTCATCAAATAATGAATTCCTCTCTGGGAAACTATGATTTATTTTAGTCTGAGTGCAAAACAAATACATCCTGATGCTTTTCAGATTAGATGAGTGTGTTTCTTGGTTCTCAGGCTGTGTGTAAACACCTGCGATGGTTATTGTTACTCAATCAACAGTTGATGAGTCGTTGCTTCTTCAATGTTGACCATCAGGTTTACCAACCAGTCTGGAAATGCCTCCACCTTTGAAACATTTGAAATATCATCAGTGCCTAACAAATCTGATCATTTAATAATCTGCATTACCTTCGTGTTCACTCGTGGGGTTTTTTTCTTCCTCCTGGGGGGTTTAGGTGGTTGTTTAAGCCAACGGATTTTGGAGGCCTTAAAAAATACAAAAGCAAATATGAGCTTTTAATGCCAAGATTAGAAGGTGGAAACATGAAATTCAATAGTATTCTTGCCTTTCTCCTGAAATTCTCACTAAATTTCTTCTTGTCTCCCAGCTTCTGCCCCTTTGCAGATTCACCGCTCAAATCCAACACCTGTGAGTTTTCCATTTCTCTCCAGCTGCAGTCAGACAAAGTCTGGCGGAGTCTCTTCTGGCAAATGGAACCAGAGCGCCGTCCTGGTCTCAGAACCCTCAGCGGAACATCCTCCTCCTCGTCTTCCCAGTAATTTTCTGCCAGTACTTCCTCTGTCTCTACACCCACTTGATGCTTTAAAGCTCCTGCTCTGCCTCTCACGTTTTCATCTTGTTGCTCTGAGTCCTCTTCAATCAGCTCCAAAAGTGGCTGCTTTCTCATCATAAACATTCATTTTGTGAAAAAGGAATATTAACACAGATCAGTTCATGCTAACCAAAAAGATTGTTGCTTTATTTTATCTGCATCACACTTACGTTTTGCTGTTGAGTGTCCATTTGGCAGCTGTGACTTTGTTGGTCTACAATGTCCGGAGTGAAAGTGTCTCTTAATTAAATATTTCAGTCAGGTGTGGATGATTGATGAATGATTTGTGCCAGAGGTGAGACTTTTGGCATTTTGTTGAAATAAAAACCGGTATAATCAAAATATGGTTCAAACCTTTCAAACTCTTAACATGCATTCACCCACAAAAATAAATAAATAAATACATAAATAATAATAATAATAATAATAATAATAATAAAAGTATCTGGATCTTAAGTTTCAGGTTGGTAAAGTTTTATTTTTTTGTAATGTCAGAATCTCATTGAGGATTAATGTTTTATTCTTCAAACTGAGACAAATTTCTGAATGTTTTGTAAATTTTAATTATGCGTAATGACAGGTGAAACTCAAAAAATTTGAATATGGTGCAAAGATCAGTTTTTTTGGAGAGACACCATTTAACACAGGGTTGTCGAGGGCCGGTATCCTGCATGTTTTAGTTATTTCCCTGCTACAGCACTCTTGATTCAATGGTTGAATCACCTGTTCAGCAGTCCATCCCCCTCTGCAGAAGCCACTTAATCACCTGCTGATTAAGATTAGGTGAGCTGAAGCAAGGAAACAACTAAAACATGCTGGAAATCGCCCCTCGAGAGACTAGCCAGGATTCCCCACCCTTAAAGGCTCAGGAATCCTTTGCAGGTGTTTTGGATTATTGAGCTGACTTTGAAACTTTTCACAATATTCTAGTAGTCTGAGATTTTGAATTCGGGGTTTTCATAAGCTGCAAGCCATAATCATCACAAGTATAACAAATAAAGGCTTAAATATCTGGCTTTGGATGTAATGAGTCTTTCTCATATATTAGTTTTACCTTTTAAGTTGAATTATTGAAATAAATTAACTTTTGCACCATATTCTAATTTTCTGCTACTACAACTAAACAGGATTGCATCTGCTAAATTTAAAAAAAAGCACAATATTATTACAGTATGCTTCTATAGTTGTTTAACTTTTATTTTTTTTTCATTCAAAATATAAATGAGTAAACATTTCAGAATTTAAAATTCAAAAGTCAGAAAAAATCCTTCTTTTCATTTGCAAAGAAATCCGAGTTGATTATCATTTCTATTTTTAATTTTTATGTAGCATTAAACTAATTTCTGTTAGCCAGTGAAAAGGGAGTTAAAAAACATCAGAGAGGGTGATAAATTTGTATTGATAAAAGGTAAAAATAAATAATAATAATAGAAATAAGCCAAAAAGAAAAAAATTTTAGGTAAATTTAGTAAAGAAAGTCTTTTCTCATATTTGCTGTAGAATAACCAGAAAGAATGATTCAGTTTAACCTGTCCGACCTTTTAGAGTCACGATGACGTCAACGCGTGGGTTATTTGCTGACCTTCATACTTTGTTTTCTCCTCATTGTTTAATGTGAGCTTTAACAATTTAGCAGAGTTCAGTAAAGACAAAACTCAGTGCAGATGCAACCTCGTTAGTCCAGAATCAGCAAACAGATGTAGTTGAATATTCGTTCAAATCAACAACAGGTTCATCGTTGATCCATCATCAAACGGTTGCACAAGAAAGATGTTTGTTGACTCAACTGTTACATTGAGTGAACTCGACAAACTCGGCGCTGGGAAAAACAACTTTGGCCCCTGCTCAGAGTTTAACGTTAAGGCACAGTGACACAGTAAAATGAGCTGGATGTGCTCTGAAAAATAAAACAGATGTGATGTTTTATACACCAATATAGTATTTATTACAAAATATTTAATAACCCAACTTTAAACTGTACAAGATCCAACATAGTTTACAGGTTTTGGCTATTTACAAAATAAGTATGATCTGAATATCAAAGTGAATATATCTAAAAAGGCATGTTGCAGTCACTGTAAGCTTATTGAATAAGGCAAGACACTTGAAATGTGATGTAGTCACACTTTTGCAGTTTAAGTGAAATGGCTATGGACCTAAAACATGGGCTATAAAGGAATGCGACACACTTCTGAAGCAGCACGTGAGAGTTGTGCTCAAGCTTGTTCCACAGAAAGCTGCAGCTGTGTTGTAATGAAAAAGCGGAAGAAGTGTAAAAATGTAAAATGTCTAAAAAACCAGCAGCAGCTAGACGCTGCATCAAGGTTTCTTGAGGAAATATGTGAACGTGCATTTGAAACACTTAAAGGTCACGCATTTGTGAAAACGGTGTGCTTATTTTCCTCGTGTGCTCTATTCTTTATAAACAAACACCCCCCTTTAACACCTTGAAATCTGCAGGCTTACTGCCATTGGATGAGGGAATACTTCAGTCTTCTGGTCTTTGTCTTATTTTGGCATGAACTAGTTGAAAAGCAGAATACATTCATCCGAACACAGTTGTTCCACCTTTGTCTGCTCTTTCTGTTGACCTTTAAGACCTCCAGTCTGCAGCGTGTTCCTCCTATGGTGAGGCAATAAAAGTTGTAAAACTTAAAGTTCTAAGGAACGCTCATTACTTTGGTTTTCCTTCAACAGAAGTGTCATTACTATGGCTTTAAGTCTTAAATAATTAACTGCTAACATGCCATATGTCATACAAAGTGTGTTCCATCCAGTGAGAAGTGGGTATACATGTGTTTATATATATATATATATATATATATACGTATATATATATATATATATATATATATATATATATATATATATATATATATATATATATATATATATATATATATATATATATATATGCATGAAGGATTTTGTCCTATTTTGTTACAATTCCAAACTAATCATCACACATGCATACACACACTCACAAAAACACACATGCATACACCAAAAACAAAAGGAAAGAGAGAAAAGAACCACGATTTGTTTCCGTAAATAATGTAATATATCCTTGGCATATTCAGAAAGACAGTGCAAAGCGAATGCGTGAAGCGTCTTTGAGCATCAGTGTACACCTTCCACTTTGATGGGAATATGTATGTCATATAAAACAATAGATGCACCTGGATCTGAAAGGACCCGAGAACACCGCCAGTAGAACCAGCTGTTGCAGAGATGCTTCAGATGCTTCTTTCTTTGCTCTGTGTCTCGTCTTTTTATGTGATTAAAAATCTCTAAAGCAAGACCTGCATCTGCATCGTCGTTTCATGTATCCGGACGTTTGGATCCTGGATGAAAACATCCCTGCTTGTATCTCAGGATTTAAAGTTAATTCCTGAACCCTTTCCGGACGGTTTTGCTGCACATGAGACAGTCTTGAGTTTCTTTCTACACAGATGCCTCTGCAATAGCCGCCACAGCCTCGATCTGAATCCCTGTCACCTCTGCGTCCTCATCCTCGTCCTCCTCGCCCACTGCCGGAACACAGGATGAGGGCAAACATGTCGCTTGGCTGTTGCTGATGTTGGCAACGTTCATCTGAATGCTGCTTCCCACGCTGGTGTGAGCGGTCAGGCTGACGGCCGGGGAGATGCTGCCCAGATTGGTCGGGACGCTCGTCTTGCCACAGGAATGGATACGGCGCGCAAGGCTGGTGGATCGCATCACCGATGAGGTGGTTGCCGTGCCGACGCCCTGCACCTTCCCTTCCAGAAAGTAAGTCAGCATCTCACCTTTACCTTTTACACTGACTTTACCTCTGCAGACCAGGTCGTAGTTACAATTCAGTATACGGTAAACGTCCTCAGTCACCTGGAGAAACAACAAAGCAAAATGATGTTTAAAGGTTGTGTAAAATCTATGATTTGAACATGAGATGTTGATTTGTTCATGTGTTTTCATGATCAAAGACCAAACTCTGGTGAGAGGTAAAATAACGTGCTCATGCCTTCTTAGACAAAATGAATCGTTACAAGCCTACATGAGTCATTGTCGAGAAATCCTTAATTATATTTAAACGTATTGCATCCTAATAAACGATCAGTGTAAACCTAAAATTTGTCCAGTTTATTAGATATTTAATTATGACTCACCAAATTTCCTCTAAGTGAACAGTTAATCATTTACTTCAACTTTTTTTAAGTAAATTAAATAAAGTGTATAAAAAGGCCAATTTTTTTTTGCTGAATCTCTCATTTAAATCTATTTCACTGGATGTTTTTTTATTTTATTATAAGAGTGGTGAACTAATTAAATGCTGTGGTATAAATTAGACAGTTATACTTCAATGTCGCTTGACTCATTTTAAGTCTAAATAGATATAAAAGTAAAATTTCAGTCACCTAAATTTTAACGCCTATTCTTTTTAAGTTATTGCTGCCCTCTTCTGAAGGAGTGGGGCCTTTTAAAGAACAGTTAAAATCAGACCAAATGTGCAGAAGTAGACAGAATCCAATCTAGTTGATGGAGCATAAAAAGATGCTTACACAGCATTCAAGGTGTTTCCATGATTTTGATGGTTAAAGCCATACTATGCAATTTTTTCATATTTTTAAATGACTTTCTTGAGCCAGTATGTGATAAAATGATCCTTTACTGGGTTAATGAAATGTCACTCAGACCCCACATCCCTCTGCGGCCAGAATACCGCACTTGCAATTTCAGAGTTGCCAGTCCAGTCCCTGTTAAACTTCATAAAGTGAAGCTGACATGGCAGAGCTGTAGTCTGCTTCCAGCACGTTTCCTGCATGTTTTAGATCGTGAATAGAGCTGATTTGTTTGATTTAGTGATGAACCACTTCTCTAAAAACTAATGAAGGCTGAGGAGACATTTCAGCAGCTTAATTTATACCTCATGTCTGCTTGAGTGTGGAGTCGCGCTCATGCATTGACAGAGACTGACATCTCCATCACCTGGGGAGTGTTGCAAATCAATTCCCCGTCCTGACCAATCACAATCTTGCGGTCTCCTTCGCTTTGATGGATAGTTAAAAAGTTGGGCATGTGTCCATCAGCCTCTGTGAGCCTGTCTGCAATGGCAGCCCCAAGGGGTGGCCAGGGGTGTCCATGGCCACCCCTAGAAAATTGCTGCCCCCCCCCCCCCCAGCAAAAGCCTGTGTTAATAAATCATATTAATGTTCACTCAAACCATAAATTGATCTTATTTATTCAAGACATAATTGTAAAACAAAATAAAAACAATACAATTAATGAGTAAAGGAATCATCAGAATAAAAATATACACATGTTTCTTCTGCTCACCATTTAAAAAAAGTTTTAATCTCCATAGATTTTGTGTACACAGCAACAAGTGAATTAAACAAACAAAAAACATAAAAAATGTGTTTTGACATAACATTGGAAATAACTGTACTATATTTTTCTGAAATATTGGTGTATGTAAAATTTAAGTTAAATGTTTTGGATACATACAGATTTTTATTTATTTATTTATTTATTTATTTTTTACAAAAACATATGAAGAAGCAATGCAATGCATCACCACAGGCTAAATTCTACCAGAGTTACCACAAGGACCAATTTGGTGTACCACCCCAAAAAGTTCTTTGGCCCCGTCTGGTCCCCCCTATCAAAATTTTCTGGAGGCACCCCTGTCTGTCTGAGAGCCCTTGCGCCGACGCATAATGGCGTGTCTCTGTACCAACACAGACGGAGAAGTATAAATTTGGCTTCAGTTTAAAAAATAAATAAATAAAATGAACAGCTAGAAAAGTTTTACATTTGCTTTTTCTAATGAACACTAGGGGGTGCTAAAAGCAAGCCAATGCTGCACAATATCCTTTTAAATCTACAAATTGACACTTGTGGCCCCAGAGGCACAGGTTGCAACCTGCTGCTTTAAATAAGATGAAAACTGTCCAAAACTATTCCCATTTAGGTACAATAGTTATTTTCAGTCATGCAGGTCAGTCAAACAATATGAATTTAGAAAATTTATATCATTCTGTTTTTTTAATCCTCATTGTAAATTGTTTATTTATAAACCTAAATTTAGTTATCAAAAAATACTGAGCAAAAAAATAGTTTTTAAATAAAAGACATTAAAAGAAGTTTAAAACACTTTTGTTCGGGCACTCGTCCTTTGAAATATGGATGTGAAATTTTAAATAAACATTTTAAATTGAACTGGCACAATTCAGTACATACCTAAAAAGATCAAATTGCAAAACATACAGTTTCCCATGTTTTAACATGTTTTTGCATACAAATCCCTATCCAGAAGTTGTCTAATTTGTATTTATAGGCGCTGCATCTACCTGTATTTTTCCTGGAACACCAGTACTATCCATCCTACTGGCCACATTGACCGTGTTACCCCAGATGTCGTACTGAGGCCGCCGTGCTCCTATCACCCCGGCAACCACTGGACCCACATTGATACCTGTCCAAACGCACAAAAACGTCACACCAAATCGTATTGATCTGAAGCAGCATTTCTCAGCATCACACAACAGGTTAGCTCACCCACTCTCAGGACAAACTCGTTGTAGGACTGGTAGTTGATTTCGTCCAACACGTCAAACATTTCGATAGCGTAGTCGGCGATGGTGTTCAAGTGGTCACAAATGGACTTCTTGTCCTTAAAGGGAGAGAAGTAAGGTTAGTTTTCATTTTCATCAAACAAAAAAGACACAAAGAACCAGAAGAGTGAAATCCACCTTGGTGCCAACTGTGGGGACGAGTCCCACAGCGGCCATGTATGTGCTGCCAATGGTCTTGATTTTTTCAATGTCTTTGTAGCACTCCTTATCCATGAGCTGCAAAATGCACATTCAGTTAGAAACACACACGTGCAAACTGAAAAAGCAAAAGTGCATCACACAGACGGGAATCACACCTCATCAAAGTCAGCTATGATCTCATTGAGCAGCCTCAGACACTCCACTCCCATGTTGTTGCCATCCAGTTCAATGTAGAAATCATTAAAGTTTGGAATCGATGCAAACAGGACGCCGACTTGGGCGTAGGACTGATAATACAAATCCTATCGGAAATGAAACAAAACAGCAACAAAAAAAGGTCAAATGAAACAAATTTTTTGGCATGTTTCTAAATTGATTTCTGCCTTTTTATCTACCTGTTTGTCTGTCTGACTGCCTGCCTGTTTGTTAGCATGGCTCACCATGTTCCTGGGGTTTGACATTAAGAAGTGCTGAGCCACGTGGGCAGGCAGTAGATTGAAGAGGATCCTCCTGTTGTCCAGCTTTACTTTCTCCATCCCGTCTCTCTCCTCCTCTGCCTGATGGCAAAACAAAATGTGTAGATAGAAACAACTACTGCTCGATAGAAACGGTGAGCGTTTGTTTCACATTTTCACCACAAGGGGTCAGTCAAAAGCTTTTGGAGGCTTTTGAATTTGAGGGCTTCATGATGCTCAAAGTTGGGTGCTTTGCAAGAGCAAATCTTCTTACAGGGCAATTAAAAAAAAGTATCTTCTTAAATTTTGCTGCTATAGTTTTTTAAATAGTTTTTTCATCATTAAAAACAACTTTTTACTAAGAAACAGAATTTCTTGTTCTTTTGCTCAAACTCATTTTACAACTGTCTAGGATTCAAAGACCTTCAGATATTTTAATGTTGCAAAGACTTCCTGACCTGCACAGCCCAGAGGAAGTCCAAGCGCAGTTTGAGGTCAAGTTGCCTGGAGTGGAGGACCAGGGCGCTGACAAAGAGCAACAGAGACAGGATGGGCTCGTAGCCCCGGATGTGGAAGGACCCCCCACTGTGGAAAAGACCAACACAGAAGTCAGCAATAGACCAGGCCACAACGAAAACAGGATGAGAGGGTGGACTGGACCCACCACAGCGTTCAGCAACTATGAATCCAGTTTTAATTGAATTTCTCAGAAGAAACATCAAGAAAAAAATACACATTTGAATAAAAAAAAATGCATCTAAAAGTCATATTATCACTCAAACATGACGAAATCAGTTGTTTTATCTTTCTGAACTTCAATGTTATAAATTTCCACTTGCAGAGTTGTGATGAAATTGGTGAGCCCTTCAGCACTCGACTAACATGGTCCCATCATCCAGCCCACATTGTCCTTTCAGGCTTCTGATTTGGAGCTAATAAGTATGTGTGCTGCTTCAAAGGGTGGAAAATGAAAGAGTGTGTGGGCTGAAGACAAGCAACAACTCCTCTACACACACACACACACACACACACACACACACACACACACACACACACACACACACACACACACACACACACACACACACACACACACACACACACACACACACACACATCTCAGCACATGTACTGTAAATATTCTAACACTTGTTCGTCTGCTTTAAACACCAACAACACAATATCGCTTGTTTAAAATTTGCATCCATCCACATGACTAATGGCAGATGACTAAAAGGCGTGTTTGTGATCACGTGACGCTCACCCTGCCGTCTTGCGGAAGCCACTGAGCTCCAATATGGTGACATACAGCACCCCCAAAAGAAGCATCAGCGCCATCTTTGGCAGCCAGGAAATACGTAAGAAAATGGCCAAGGTGAGGGTGCCCACCACACAGGAGAGGAAGGCATAGTGAGCCCCTTCACAGGGCAGTTCCGCCATGGTGCGGTTGGCTTCGCTGTCCTTTTCGATGATGACAATGGAGCTGTTTGTGTTGGTACTACCCCAAAGCCAGGGCATGCAGCCCACCTGTCACAGGCATAAGAACAATACAACGGTATCAAAAATGTAAAATATCGATAGGAATATAAATGCTGACACTCACAATCCCTTAAGTGTGATTTACAGCAATAAGAGCATTTACAAAAATGAAGAAAATAACACAAAGATCTATGTAGTTTAGTTTCAGAGGCAGTTGTGGACTTCTGTTTAGCATTATGACTGAAAAATGTGTAGATGTAATGTGAAAAAAATTGTTATTTTTATGATGAAATAAGCATGGATATTCAAGAAAATTTTCAAACCATGCATAGCATTTACCTGTTCCATCACAGATGAGTTACCATGATCAATAATCAACACTCAGTACCAATGTGGAGTAAAGTAGCAAGTGAAAAAAACATTACAAAGTGATTTTTAAATGAAAACAATGGTACAGGAGAGATTTATAAGGTTTCAAAATGTATTTCCAATTTTTTATGCGGATGCCAATTAAATAATTAATTCAATTGCATCTGCATATCTGAAATTCTCCAACTTCCTTTACTTTTAGCCAGCCAATTCGCCTTCCAGCAGGAGTCTTGCACTGAATTTAAACCCAAAATGATACATTCTGCACCCACTGTGCATTCTTACAGTTGAATTTGGGACTTACAACACAAGCCTGGGCCACAGCGTAGATTAAGAGCACTATGAAAACACAGAGAGCCGTTCGGATCTGAATGGTCAGGCACCCTGGAAAACACTGATGCACAAAGAACAAACAATAAAAAAACACATAGATAAAATCAAACCCACAGATTGTGTAAGGGACACTAAAATTATCTATAACATTCACACCAAATTAAATAATGTACAAGTTCATGCAGGAAATATGAAAACTAGAATTTACAAAAGCCATAAACTTAATTACTCATTTTTTAAAAAGGCGCAGATAATAAAAGTTGTGTTTTTACCTGTATTCTAGTAATATGCAGATACATAATACACGCTACTAGGAAGCAGATGCAGAAGACGAGGAGAATTAGTACCACTGTCCCCCTGAAAATAAAAAAAAAAAAATTGTGTAAAGAAATTATTCAAACATAAGTCAAAGTAATCAGATTATGGTTAGTTTCATACTGTGGAATAATGAGGAGATAAACAAGGCCGAACAAGGCAGCGAGGATCAGAGAGAGGACCACAGCACTGGTGAAGTACTCATCAGGAAGCTGGTGGTACTGGTGTCAAACACAAGAGAGGATTTTATCAAAACGTATGTCTTTATCATGTGGTTTGATAAAGATAAAAAAAGAAAAACACTGATGAAATGTTCCCTGGGGTTACTGAAGGATTTTGCATCTTTTTTATTTACTTATTTTCAATTCAGTTCTGATAGTAAGTAATTTTCACCAATGTTAACACAACCTATAAATCATTCAAGCGTTAACACTAGAAAGGCCACGGCAGTCATTCTGACTGCTTCGCAACTAGCATGTTTAACAAATTCATCACATAAATTCATACAGCCTTGCTAGTCCCTGATTTTTCCTAAAATGGCGCAACTGTTCAAGAAAATTGGATTTCATGTTTGTTGTGCGAAAAACAAGTTAAACATGATCATTTCTTCCTATTTTGGCCAGAGGCAATCATTTTGACTGCCAATGTCTCTCTGGTTTTCACAGGGAAAGATTAAAGTAAAACACCACAAGCGGGAAATTTTTGATCAGGCTTTCTATTTATTTATTTATTTATTTATTGTCATTTTATTATTTCTGTCATTTACAACTAAAATATAGAAGAAGGGAGAAAATGGCCCGGGGCATTGCACTGTTTAATTTGCCTCGTTGAAGCCTAAAAACTACAAATATTTAGAAAAATAGAAATATTAAATACTGTCATGGCTCTTTTTATTTACTGTTGAAATTCTGTACGTTCATAATTGTTGATTATCAGTATTATTTTTTGCTCTATAAAAATAGGTGCCTATGGGTGCCTTGGCTAAAATTGTTGTTGACAGTGAAAAATTTGGGATTTTGTCAGATAGTTAAAAAATACTTGTGTTATTAAAGTTTGTTTGATTAAGATGTTTTATAGAAATAAAAGTTTATTGAACAATTACATTTTACTAAATTTGGGTGTTATTCTGGTTTTTAAAAATTGCTATTAGCTATATATTAATTAAACGTCGTCTGAGTTATAAACCCACAAGGTTAATTTATTGACCTTTAAATGCAGCAGCCAAAACAACTGCCCAAAGCCTTTCCAGTCCTCTTCTAATATTAAAAGGCACCTAAAAGATAGACAATATTCGATCTGACTTTGCAAAAAACTATTTTAAATTACTGAAAAATATTTTAAAATTAGTGTATTTTTGATTTTGGTGCAAAGGTCCATTCTGATGCCTTTTGAAATGAATAGAGAGACCTAGTTTTGCATGCATGTAAATATTTAGTCACTAATTAAAAAGCTGTGATCCAAAAACCAAATGTTTGCAAGCACTTTACAATAAGGGTCCTTTTTATCAACGCTACTTAGTGCATTATTAAGCAATAATAAACTAATAAAATAAAGTATTATCAACTGCGTATTATATAATGCATTGCTAAGTAGACCCCCCCGGCCCTTTGTCCTAAACTTAAGGACATTTAATAGTTTACAATAACAGCAATAAAGAGATCCTTTGTTTGTTAATGCTTAATAATGCACTAAGTAACATTAGTAAAGGGACCCTTATTGTAAAATGTTACCAAACATTTTTTGCAGTAAAATGGACCCTTGTTTACATGTTTTGGCCTGACTGTGAACAGTAAACACACATTCCTACACACGCCTAATCAGAATATTCTCTGATGGGTAAAAGCCTCACCCTCTGCTCGTGCTCAGAGCACTTATACATGAGTGTGAGGAAGTTGAGGTCTGCTGTGTCGGACTCAGTCTGGCGGGCTTCGATCAGCCGACCAATGTAGCGGTTGACCCGAGTCCTGGGGCTACTCTGGATCAGGTTGGCCTGGTTGGCGTTGGTGCGGTTCCTCATCTTTTGAGGAGCTGTTCTCATGGCCCTCCGCTGGACAGGAGTGAAACAGAAAAATCTTGATTCATAACTGCACCACTAAACACACTGCTGCACTCTTCATTCTCTAGACTACTTCGTTATTCTCACACCAGGAACAGGGGTGAACACGAGTCAACAGTAAACACGGGTGGCTGATTATATTTTCAAATGAGAACATTGCCTTCACACTTAACTTCATCATCAGACACACCCCACTGTGTCTAAGTGTCTTCAGCAGCCAAAGTGAGCAGCTTTGCAAAACACTGGGCACTGGAGCAAAGCCAGGGTGTTAACAAGACAGGGAACGGTGTGTGTGTGTGTGTGTGTGTGTGTGTGTGTGTGTGTGTGTGTGTGTGTGTGTGTGTGTGTACGTGTAAATGAGCATGCTTCCTGATCAGCTCAGTAAGTGTGGGGGAAGGGAGTTCAGCTAGGATGACCAGAGTTTTTGTGAGTTTGTGACGCGGATGTGTTCGGTACCTCTCCGTTATGTTTCCCTGCATCTATGAATTTGACCAAGTCTTCCAGTTTTTACTTCTCTGCTCACTTTTGGCTCAACTTTATCACAATCATCTATTATTTCTTAAATCTTTTACAGCTTTCATGTCTTCTCACCTTCACTTCCTGGTTATTTTCAACCCTTTTACACTTAGATTTCAGTTTTGTTTAACATTGTTCCCTTTCCCATCATGCCTTTTGTTCGTTTCTATTCCCAATTTTTGTGGTTTATTTATTAGGGATTACCTCTAAAGTCTGCAGCTGCTGCTGCTGACTTCTCATTTTTGCATTGTGCTCAGTCGCACAGGACACATCACGCAACCATGTCAGTTGCAAAAGCAAAAAAACAAAAACACTCCCTTTGTTCCTTCGTCCTACATATGGCTCTGCTTTGTGCCTTGAATAAAAATGTCACTTCGCTCAGCACACAAGTGTTTGAGCTGACTCTGAAATTTCCCGTAAGTGGATAGTTTATAGGACAACCCCTGCCTGAATTGTGGGTAAACTTGAACCAAGATGTTGTTTAATGCAATGCAAGGGGAGAAAATAAACCAAACACAATAAATATTCTGAAGGAAATTCTAGCCGGTACGTCTTTTAGTACACCACAGCACGAGCAAACACAGAAACATCAACACACACACCCAAGAGCTGATACCTTGTCACCGTCCTCGCAGTTCATGACATTGGAGAAGGGAATCTCAGCCTTGAACATCTTCCTGCAGTGCATAAGCTGCACTAGTAAGTAGCACACAGTTTTGAACTTCATCTTTTTGGCAGGCTTTATATCTGAAAGAATCAATCCTGGGAATATCTGTCACCAGATAAGAAAGGGGAACAAAAGATTAAGTCTTGATAAACTTGCACAGTAAAATATGTGTCATGCATGAGTCACATGTACAAGCACTGGACAGTATATACATGCACACACACACACACATGCAGTCGTTAGTATCGGGCTCAATAAACTAGAATGTGATTGAATGAGGCAGATTAATCCCAGAAGGCATTTATATATATATGGAGAAATTTTTTAGAAAAGTGTGAAACGCTTTCTCCTTTGTGTGTCGTCAGTAAGAACGATGGTTAATCTGTGTTCCTTCAGGAGCAGCAGCAAATCCGATGCTGCTGGTAGATCACATCTTTGATGAAGAACATCAGCTCTTTTAAAAGAGTAGCTGAAATCTTTGACATTGCAAAAATAATAATAATAAAATCGTGAATCATAGAGGTTTCCATGTGATACCCATGGACCTGCGCGCAAGTCTTATCTTGCATAAAGTAAAACCTGCTGCTGAGGATAATGAGCAGAGGAAAAGCGAAGAAAACGAGACCTTGGGGAGGCGTACAGAAACAAGATTGAAATTCCCTCTCCAGCTGAATGTGGCACATCTGTTGGTGATATGTGTGTTTCTCTGTAAGTTTGTCGGACTGCGAACATTTGAGATGATGGATGCCACGGGCTGACTTTCTTTTCTTTCTCTTTACAGCCTCATCTGGATCCATTACAGGGTAGAAGAAAGACCAGCACAAAAGCAAATGTTATGATGACAAAAGTTATAGTCCTACACTGTAGACTGTGTTAAAACAAATTTATTTTGGAGGTCTCAGGCAGAGAATCTAACCAAATCTCAAGCTGAGCCCACACTGACGTGAATACACATGCAGATGATAAATGAGTAAATAATGAAAACTAAATGATTCATTTTACAACACGTTTTGTTGTGATACCTTCCGTCGGTGAGATGGCACAATAAAGAAAGTTTCTATTTCATGCTTTTGAAGGAAGGAGTTCCTCTCGTGACCGTTTCCAGGCTCCACCTCGTAGTCTCCGTTTAGGCACTCCAGCGTTGACCTGGTGATGTGAACTTTCCTGTAACACACACAGTGATGCAGTTAGTCTCAAAAGATGCAGCTCAACACCTCCATATCCTTGCTTCTCTCATCTGCTAAAATCCTTTCATCACTCGGTTTTTGACTGTTATCCGCTCTGCTGTGGTCTGTTGGGGTGCAGGCAGCTCTGACCGAGACAGACTGAACAAGCTACTCAACAAAGCTAGCTCGATTCAGGGCTGGAATTCAGTCGAGGAGATGTGTGAAAGGAGGATGATGAGGAAGATGATCTTCATCTTAAAAAACCCTCCCACTCACTGCATTCCACTGTGGAGACCATGAACACCTCCTTCAGAGGCAGACTGAGACACCCTAGATGACGCTACCGTAGGTCACTCATCGCCTCTGCTGTAAGAGCGTATAACTCCTCAGTTTAAGTTGTACCGGCATTATTCTGGTACACAATAACATCAATGCTATATTCAGTATGTGTTCAATACTCGTGCAATACAGGATTTGCATAGTGTGCCTGTATCTCTTACATCATGCTGCATGGTTCTAGAACCCAAGGTTTTCATTTTTATTAGTGGATTTTAGCAGTTAAAGGTTACAATGATAGCTTACTGCCCATGTGTAAACACCAGAGATGGGAAACTGCGGCATCAACAAGTCATCTCCATGTCGTGTTTTTGTTCTGCTCAGCAACTGAACCACGTTCATTCACTGTGCTGATTGAAATTACCTGGTTTTGTTGCTGAGCAGAACAAAAACACGACATGGAGATGACTTGTTGATGCCGCAGTTTCCCATCTCTGGTAAATACGTGTACCTTTGTTATTATTTTTCTGCTAATTATTCTCTTAAGTGTTTGTGATCAATAAAGTAAGTAAGTAAAAGTTTATTTATATAGCGCCTTTCACAGATATAAATCACAAAGCGCTGTACAACATGATAAAGATCAGGGCAAATACCTCTAACCAATAAAAACATCAGAAAAAACAATAGCAGTGATAAAATAGAAAATAAAATCATGAGTATAAACAAAGTGAAGCCATCTTTTAGAACATTTAGGGAGGGAACGCCTGGATGAAAAGGTGAGTTTTAAGATGATTTTTAAAGACCTCTACAGTGTTAGAGAGACGGAGATTTGAAGGTAGACTGTTCCAAAGTCTGGGTGCAATAGTCTGAAAGGCCCTGTCCCCTTTGGTTTTCAGTCTGGTTCGAGGAACAGCCAGGAGGTTTTCAGATGTGGATCTAAGGTTCCGAGAGGGGATGTGTGGGGATAAAAGCTCAGATAGGTAGCTTGGAGCCTGGTTGTTAAGAGCTCTATAGGTCAGGACTAAAACTTTAAACTGAATTCTATATTCTACCGGGAGCCAGTGGAGGGACTGTAAAACTGGAGTGATGTGAGCTCGTCTGCTGGATTTGGTTAGGAGTCTGGCTGCTGCATTTTTGCTGCATAAAGTCGATTCTATTCTATTCTATTCTATTCTATTCTAAAGACAATTTTCATCTTTGTTGCATTCATTCAGTGTTGATTTTCTGATTCCATTTTCCATTTTTCCCCATTTATTACATTTTCAGGCGACAGCGGTGTCCGAAATTGTCAGCAAGAAGGTAAAAACAAGCTCTACTACTCTGTGTATAGAAAAGGACCGGGAAATAATGGAATCAGACCATTTTCATGTTCAGCCTGCAGGGAAAACTCAGAGTTACCAATTATAATCAGAAAAAATATTTTAAAAGTAGTTTTTTCAGTGATCTACACTATTAATGAGTCCATTTATGATCAGTTCTGGGCATTTTTGATCCACAAAATCCACTAGATTAATCAAAATCCATCATTTCATTTCATTTACATTTTCAAATCCTGCTTTCTGTTTTTAGGAACACCTCCTGAGAAGCTCCGCCTGCTTGGATGAGTTATCTGATCTGCCAAGAATAGCAGAACACAAGACAGATGCTCATTCTTTGAATCATGAGAAACTTTATAGATGTTATGCAAATGTGTCATTTTTATTGTTGTAGTCAGCTGAGGAATTGTGTTTGTGAGCAAAAATACCCCGCTCTGGTCTGCATGAGGCACTTCCTATAATGTAGGAAGCCACTAATTGTAGCACTCTGAAGAAAAGGGTGAAAATATAAAAAGCTTATTTTAGTGACTAATCAAAAACAACAAGATATACTAAAAGCTACTCTAAAACAAGATGTAAGTCTCAAATAGAGCATGAAGGTGTTGAGGTCTGTGAAATGTTTATGCTGACCCTGGTAGCCCCCCAGCTTCCATTACGTTGGCCAGTGTCACATCATTCGACCAAACATCATACTGCCATTTCCTGAGGCCCAGAACCCCACAGAGAACCCGACCCGTGTGCAAGCCCACACGCATGTTAAGGTTAACTTCTGTTGCCTCTGCGACTGACCTGCAGGGACGAGACATAGGGGGCGAATAGAAACAAGAATTAGAAACAAAATCTTCCAATGAGAGTTCACCGTCCAATTCCAAATGTTGTTTTTGTGCCTGTTAGGGGCATTAAACCGATAAAAAGCGTGAAATAACTCACGTTATGGTGTCGATCATATCTAGACCCATTTCTACACAGCAGTGGGCGTGGTCGGTTTTGGGTTGGGTCAGTCCAGACACACAGTAATAACAATCCCCCAGGATCTTGATCCTGCGACAGTGGTTTTCCTGTTAGTAAAAAAAGAGGAGAGAAAAGTTGTCACCCTTTATTAAAAATAAAGATTCACTGTAACTATCAATACATAACTAATGTAGAAATGAATAGCAGGTTTTGTAAAGCTTGCGTAGAAGTTCCCTGTTTTTTCGAAGTTAAACAGGGTTATATGCAAGCAGATGATTTGCTGTGGCAACCCCGGAAGTGTGTTTGCAGCTACCATAGTTCTGAATATTCTAAAGGACATACAGGACTGACTCAGTCATGAAAATTAAAAATAAATAGAAAATCTAAATTCACCTCATAGCTATTGATTAAATACACATTTTGATTGGATTTTTTTTCGCGGTCTCGAGGATTGATGAGCTGTTGATTTTTTTCAGACTTGGGGTTTTGCAGTACTGGAAAACTTTTTGTGCAACAACCATATGTCAATGGCAACAACAAAAAGGTAAATCTTGGAATAAACTGTTCATGCAAGCTGTATTTTGCAGGAACTGTGTCACACGTGCTTGTGACACAGACACAGCTTTGCTAAGCTGCTGCATCAAAGTTTCCAGAACCTGATCCATATTCAACCAAACCTCCTCCTACTCGCTGTGTTTGTGGGGGAGTTTTTGCCTCGGGGGGAACAGTGGGGCCTTGGGCACCCCTGGGGGGCACCACTGGCCTTGTGACTTCCCATAGCTCTGTCTAGTTCTCATTTTCTATTTTGATTATATAAAGCAACTGACAGCAATTTAAACAGCTTATTATTTTCTTTTTTTCTTCTCACTTTAAAATTTCTCATTTTGACGTTTTGAGCTAAGCAAAGTGAACAAAATGATGCTTTTTGTTTTTAGTTTTTACAAAATGATAAAATCAGTGTTTTATCCCCTAATTATCTCAACAAAGGAAATGTTACCCTGTCCCACAGTCAGAGCTAAGACCCAGACACAGCTCAGCCCTCTCCACCCGACTTTGCCTTCTTATGGGTAAAATCAATCAAGTAAAATGTTATTCATAAAACGCTTTCCAACAACCAAAGGTGCTGAACAATAAAGTCACAGTTAGGAATAAAACACTTTAAAAGCAGCAAATACCATCAGTGAAAAGCCAATCTGAACAAGCGGCCTTGAACAAAGAGAGATTCCTGACGGAGGACGTTCCTAGAGGCAGAACATTCAAGAGCTTTGGTCCCGCCACTCTTTGAATCTAGATCGTGGGACCACCAGTAGGTGCTGATCTGCGGAGCGTAGAGCTCTGTTTGACTGATGAGGGGTCAGAAGGTCACCCAAATAACAAGGAGAAAGACCATGAACCAAACAGTAAAAAATGTTCGCAGATCTCCAAACATTTATAAAAAACACAGAAACAAATAGGGATCTTATGACTGTTAAAATGTCCCATCCTTGTGTTGAACTGGTTGATGGATTTTATGTTGACATGTCAGTCTCACCTCATCCCACTGACTGGTATTTGTACTTTCCGATCGTTACCTCATGAAATCTGTTTCAAAGCTTAAATTTATAAAATAATAAACAACTTCAGCAAAGCTACTGACCAGCTTTACTTTGGGGAATAAGGTGAGTCACTCACGTGTTGGAACAATAAGCAAATGCGTGGAAATTTGGTTTACAAATTTAAACCAATCATTAGAGGATATTAGCAGCAGAAATTCATTTTTCCACAGAGACCAGGTTATTGTTTCCATTAAGGTAATAGGGACTGCTGCCCATGCATATAAAACAGCACAGACACTCATAATTAAGCACAAGAGAAGTGCTATTTTTAACTAAAAAACTAAGTGAGTTTCAGGCTAGCAGGATGGCTAAAGATTGTTAGTCCAAGTTATCATTTATTGGAGGTTTAAATCTCTGTGACATGATGAAAGGGTATGCCAGGGACTTGCATAAACCAGCCAGGAGAGCACGGATGATTTTCTTGACATCTTAATTTATTCCTTTTGTTTTTCTTTTCTCTAAAGAGGGTTCCAACCAACACTTGACATTACAAGACAATGGACGTAGTAACAAAGTAACCCAAACTCAGGACCTGACTACAGACATGCACCAAACAAAAACCTCCTACAGACACAACAGGATCAACTTAAATAGTGGCTGATCAGACCACTGCCAACACAATAGGGTGGGGAGACATCAGTAAACAAAGAACATAAACTACCCCTAACAAATTCATACTAATCAGTCCATTCTGTTTGAGTTACTTCAAATGAAAACATTACTATCAAAACTCAACTACTATTGACAAAAGAATAACTAAATACATAAACACAGGAATCTTCTCCCTTGAGAGTTGGTATGACCCAATGGTGCTGATTAGGCCAAGTGATCTGCTACAGCTGCTACAGCTGCTCCAACTCCAAGGCCACTGGCAACTCAAAGAAAACATATACAAACCCCTACAGACTAAAACCGATGAGTAACTGAATGTGTGCACTTCATACAGTCACCCAAACAGTCAATCCATAGAAACAAACACCTTTATTCAAAATAAAAGAAACATTAACAGTCATTTACTTGAAGTGTGACAGCAGGGCAGCTGTCACAGGGTAAAACATGGGGAAAATTGTCAGGATATTTAATATCTGGGATGATTTTCTCAAAGTGTCAAAGCTTCATTGTGATAAAAGTCCCAAAATGTTTGTTTCCACAGCCTGAGGAAAAAGACTGCTTGAAACAGCACAACACGCATTCTGAAAATGATAAATATGTGTGCAGCTTTCTTTTTAAAATCTGTTTAGAATGTAAATAATAAATGAAAAGAAAAGCTCAAGTTAAGGTCTGATTGAGTACAAAGACTCAAGGAGGACTACCTGTGGGATTGCAGAAAAGGTCCAAGGTGATTACAAAAGGATTTAAAAAAAAGATGAGAATCCTGCGATGTATACTGTATCATATTGCACGCCACCACCACACAAATACAATCATAACAGAAGATTCAAGAGAGAAAAGCTAGCTGGATCTTAACCATCAAATTAGACATCAGACTTTTGCAAACAAGTTCTTAGAAAACAATGTCTATGGGCTTGTGGACTTTAATATAATAACTTTATAGCAACAAATGCTACAGTCATACCTGGAGGAACATAAAAGACCTAATCCAAAATAAATCCGAACATTTAAGGGGATTCTTCTTTAAAGATGAAATTGAGCTGACATTTACTTCACTTAAAATCCTGAAAGATCGTATTTTTTTAAAAGAAAATTCAAGTGTTAAAATGTAGTTTACAGCAAAACAGCAGTATCAGCGTGTAATGGGGAGATCGTTCACAACATGATGATGCTTTAGAATGTAGGTTTAGGGAATTTGGATGCAAGTCAACGATAAAATAATCAAGATTAATACTCAGTTTTGATCTGATTTCATTTCTTCAAAAAGTGTCACAAAATCAAATGATGACATAATTTCTCCCAGTCAATAAATGAATAGATAAATATATTTATGGTCGACAGTATAATGAGAATAAAGAGAGTGAAAACTGAAAATTATGTCAGTTAGAAAAGTCGACAAAGTTAAGCCACTGCCACAAAAATAAAGTTCGAGTATCAACAAGTAATAAGTTACCGATACAACGTGGTACTTACAGGGGTAGTACTGAGTACTAGAGGTATGCACCTGTAACTACCTTGCAAACGCCCTGTATATATGCACTCGTTTATACCATCCTCAAGAGGCCCATACTTCAGTGGGCCAGATCATATCTAACTGACAGAAAGATCATCTGATTCTGTTCCACTGTCCCCTGATGTGCCTCAGGGTTCCTTACTAGTCCCTGTCTTATTTCTTTATATAAAGAGTCGTAGACTGAGCTCATCCTCTTTGGTGCCTCCCAACCCCGCAGATGCAACCTCTGATCTTGGACCGTTGGTGACCCACCTGAGCCGTGCAGTGAGTAATCTCAGGGTGAACATGGACAATACTCAAACTCACTAGACAAATAGATGCTGTGGTTAGGGCCTGTTATTTCCAGCTCTGCCTGTTAGCTAAAGTGAGATTCTTTGCTGCAGCTAAAAAAACTAAGCAACAAATTTGCCATGCCCTCTCTGTGGGATTACATCAGACCTCCCTGCACCATTTACAGCTTGTGCACAATGCGCCTGCTCAACTCCTCATCAGCTCCTTATGGAACCTTGTACTGGCTCTCCTTTCAATTCAGAATCCAGTTCAAAATGTTCTTGTTGATATTTGTTCTATCCACGGTCTTGCTCCTTGTTATGTGTGACCAGTTGACCCCTCATCAATCAGACAGAGCTTCCCGCTCTACATACAAAGGAGAGTCCCAAGCTATGGAACAGTTTGCCTCTTAAAATGTGCTCCATTATGGTCCTCTGTGTTTAAAACTGTAGCACAACCTGATCATATTGGCTTTTTTCACTTAGGTGAGAACTTGATTTGCATTTTTTTCCTGTTTTTATGTTCTGTTTTCACATCAAGTATTGTATTTATTGTTGTCCAGCTCCTTGTGCAATATGGTTGTTGTAAAGCACTTTTATAAATACAATTTTGATTGATCAATTGATCACTAGTACCCCGTAAGTGCCTTTTAAGTACTGGATTGTATTACATATTGCTACCAACTTCAAATAAAATTAAGAGTTTCAGACATATAAATAGACATAAGTTTGCAAATTGAATTAAATAGAATTGGTTCAATTTCTTATCTTGATGTTTGTAAGCCAGCAGTTAAGCAAACTGTTAAGTAACAGTTTAGCTGGGGGTGTGTAGAAAAAAAGTGGAACATAAGTGAAACACAGCTGAAGTTACAGTAAGCAGGGAAAGCCCTGCTACCTAAACAGCACACTTTGCTGTACTTTTCCTTTGCTAATCTCCTGTGTGAGGGTTTAGGAGCTGATTCAAAGCCAAGCAGGATTACCGCCATCATGTGACCAAAGCGCTAAGGAAATCTGGGTGGTCATAAGGAAGAGGGAAATAAAGGAGCAGGTTGAGTTTGACCTCTGTTTCCAATCTCATTTAGAAGGAAAACAAGCTATTTTAAGATCAGAATAAACGG